CCCGTGGGCTGGGGGTGAGGAGGGGAAGGGCCTCTCCTGGCAGAGCGCCCCCTCCCTATCCTGCGGCGGAAGCCAGGAGCTCTCGTAGGAAGTGATTCTGTCACACAGCACATGGGCTCCGGTGTCCAGAATCCCAGTCTGGCTCCCTCAGGTCCCCAGGTCCTGCTCACGGACAACTCAGAACCCACACAAGTTTAATCTCCCACGAGCCAAGCCTGGAGGTGGGAGGGGAGGGGCTGCAGGAATCCTCTGGGGAACAGGGGGAGGACAGGCAGGTCTCCCTGCTCCCTGGAGCCATGACCTGATTCGTCCAGCGCTGGCCCTGCCCCTGCGGTCTGCTCCCTGAACCCAGAGGAAGCGCTGCATGACGCAAGTAAGATCATACAAGCTGCTGCCTGACACCTACTGTGGCTTCCCACGGCCCTTGGTAAAAGGCCCAAATCTTCATCCTGAAGATAAACACCATCGACCTGGCCCCTGCCCCTGCCCTAGCCTCTTCTCACACCAGACACACAGCCTTCTCCCAATCCAGTTCACTCCCTCCAGCTGCAGGGCCTTTGCACGTGCTGTGTCCTCTGCCTGACACACTCTCTTCCCTCTGCTCCCCACCTGCCGGTCAACAAACCCTCGTGCTCAAGTATCACTTCCTCTAGGACGCCCTCCCTGATCCCCAGAGGAGCAAATGTCCCAGAAGGACTCACAGAACACACCTGCACCATTCCGTGGCTCTCGTCACAGCTCAGAACTTCACACCCCTGTGACTACGAGGTTTCCTCCCCCACTAAACCCTAAGGTCCCCAGGCCAATGGCTACACTGGGTTTCGCTTAGCCCTGTATGTCTGGCATCTGTCACAGCCCACGCACGCTCCGGGTACACGGAAATGACTGTCAGGGATGACGACGTGAAGAAACCCGAGGGGAATCTGGATCTCCTGCTTCCTGCACATGTGTCCGTGGGCAGGTGGCCTGAGCCCTCGGCTGTGCACCGGGGGCGGCTGTGAAGATTACAGGTGCTAATTATCTCAGTGCTTATGGCGGTGCAGGCAGAAGTCACAAGCATGATCTGGTGTTTGCAGTTAATACACAGTTACTTGAGTTTTAAAGCTTCTCCACCAATCGGAATGTCAAACCTTTCTCAGACCCCTGCCCTGCAGCACCTGGTGACAGGAGACCCGGAGGAAGGGCCCCTCTCCTGCTGCAGGGTCCTGTGGCCCGCAGAGGTTCTGCTAGAGTCTTTTTCCAGGATGGAGGCTGCCTCCAGCTGCTCCAGGAACCCCTGGCCTCCCTCCCTTGTGGCCCAGGAGGGCAGAGGGGGTGGTCCCCGGGTCACCCTGCCATGCCAGCTCCGCGGTAGGAGGCGCCCTCACACAAGCCCCGGGTGACAACAGATGTCAGACCCCCTCTCCCCGGCAGGGAGCCGGGCATGTGGCTTCCATTAGGTTGCATCTGGACACACTCAGAGGCCGCCTGGCTCCCTGGCAAAGCTCCGGCTCAAAGACAGGACCCCCGCCTCAGCAGGGCCTGGGGCAGCGGCTGGAAACCTCCTTCTCCAGGCCCCAGGGCTGCCATGGCAACGTGGCCGGGGGTCACTTCCGGCCCCACTGCCCGCCTCTCAGCGGGCCCCACGGGCAAGCAGGACCGGCTACCACCTCTCCAGTTCTCCCCGCGGAGGTTCCTCCATCCCTCGGGGCCCCCCAGGGCTCCCCCCACAATGGCAGCCAGAGGCTCTCGGGCCCTCCCTCCCCCAAGGATGTGCCATCAGGCCGCGCACCCACCCACCAGGCCTCCCACGCTGCATGCACTTGGGCTGTGACCACGAATAAATCTGTGGCTGCTTATTCCCTAAATCCCCCCACCCCTGGCAGACCCCGAAGGGGAGAGGCCGCGCGCCTGCTTCACCAGGACAACCCCGCGTGCAGAGACGGCGCGCCACACGGATCTGCTGCTGAAGTTAAGGGGGTGGATTGAAGAGCAGATGGTGAATAGGAATGGGGAACATTCTTAATTACTCAGCAGTGCTAAGCCGCGTGCTGAGCTTGAATGAATTAGCTCATTTAATCCTCAAAACACCCCCGCGAAGCAGGAGAAAACAAGGCCCCAACATGGGGAGCCCCTCTTCTGCGTTACACGGTGGTGGGTGATGGGGACACGGGGTGAGCGGAAGGCAGGTGGAAAGGGGTGGCGGGTGGCAGCAGCCCTGGTTCATGCGGCCAGGGCGAACTCCTGGGACCCGCTGACATCCACCCCCCTCCCAGCCCCCGCCCCCAACTTCCCACACCTTCCTTTCCCCACGCCCCAAAACGCAGCCTGTCCACGCCCTGCTCCCGGCTGGGCACGTGCCGGGCCTCTGCCGGGGCTGCCCTTGGAGGGGATCGGGGTCGCCCTCGGAGGAGATCGGGGCACCCTATCCGGCCCCTACCCACAAGCAGCCTTCATCAAAGGCCACACCCCAAAATCCATTTGAGAAAGCCCAGGACAGAGGGAAGCAACCTGGGGCTCCTGACAACAAAGCAGTTTTCCAGGATTCCAAGGCCCACAACCACAGAGAGAGACCTCCAGCAGCGAGCACAGCAGGCAGGGGGCGGGGGGCTGCGTCCATTCTGGAAACCCTGGAGGCTGCGATCCAGAGCCAGGCCTGCGAGCCCGCCCGGGCACACGTGCACTTCATTACAGCCCCGCCCCAACCCACGCACGTGCCCCGCCCCCCGCAGGCTCAGGGCGGGGTGGGGAGGAGCCCCCAGAAGCCCATTGCCCTGGTCCCAGTCTACCAGCTCCCTCTGTGGCCTGCCGTCACTAGCCACACCGCTCCAACCTCGACCTGGTCACCCTCCCAGCTTGCGGGGGGGATCAGATCACAACCAGAGCCTGGCACCTAGTAGGTGCTCAGCGAGGGGGGTCCACCGTGAGCAGGCCGCACCGCGGCCTATGGGCCCAGGGTCCTAAGGGCTGGGGGAGCCCACAGACTCAGCCTTTGCACACAGCAATGCCCAGCGAGGGCCACAGCTCTGGGCAGAGCAGAAAAGGGGGGCAGCCAGGCAGCGGCAGGGTGGGTGCGCGGGAAGTCTGCAGAAATCCCAGAGCCCCTCCCCCAGGAAACCCTCCCAGACACCCAGGCATCCCTCACTCACAGCCCCCTCCTGGAGACCAGGGCCGCACGGGCCCGTTCCTGCCTCCCCAGGGCCCACTAGGGCCCGCTCACAACTGATGCCTAATGGAAGTTTACAGAGTGAGCAATACAGGATTGAAAGAGAAACGGACTCCCAGCTGTGGAGAGAAAGCTCCAGAAAACCAGACACTCCCCAGGGATCCTGCAGGGGAGGCAGGAAAGCAGAGGGGGCTCGGGAAAGGGTCAGACAACACACAGATTCAGGGTTAAGGTTAGGGTTAGGGTAGGGTTAGGGTTAGGGTTAGCATCCTGGAAGAGATGCTGCCTGAGCTCGCAGGGGAGAGTGTGAGCAAATGGGTGGAACAGAGGGGAGGTGAGAGTGTAGGATGCTCATGGGACACAGGGAACTAGCATGAGGAGGGATGACCGATAAAGGGGTGACCAGCAAGCCCCCTGTTCACTCATTAATCACCCAATGTTTACAGAGCACCAACTGTGTGCCAGGCCCTGCTGGAGGCCCACGGACAAAGCAAAGAAGATGACACATGAGGTCCCTCTGCTCGTGGCACTAATATTCCAGTAGGAGAGACAGCATTCGACAGGAAATTATGTGCTACAAGGTCAGGTCAGGTGTTACCAGGAGAAACAAAAGCAGTGTACGAGGAAGGTGGGGTGGGACCTTCCTAGGGAGGCCTCCCTAGGGAGGCGACCTCGAACAGAGAGCAAGTGGAGGGAAGAAGCAAGCCACATGGACACCTGGAAGAGCATTTCAGGGAGAGGCAGTGGCAAGTGCAAAGGCCCTGGGGCTGAGAGGTGCCCAGAAGGGGCTAGGAGGCCAGTGGGGCTAAGCAGAGTCGGGGAGAGGGAAAGGGTTCCTAGGAACTAAGTGTTAATGCCCCTACCTCCAAATTCACACATTAAAATCCTAATGCCCGACGGGATGGTAGGAGCCTTGGAGATGGAGCTTGGGGAGGTAATCAGGTCTCGAGGATGAAAGCCTCACACTGGGATTAGAGACCATCTAAAAAGAGCTGCCAGTGCGAGCTCCTCCTCTGATCTATCTCAGACGAGATGCAGCCTCACCTGCTCCACCAGGTGAGGACACGCCGAGCAGGCGGTGTGCAAACCAGGAAGCAGGGTCTCACCAGACCACCACCATCTTAGGCCTCCCAGCCTCCAGAGCTATGGGAAATAATCTGTTGTTCCGCCACCCTGTCTCTTTATTCCTGTTACAGCAGCCAGAATGGACAAGGTGATGAGGGAAGGTCCAGGAGGTCCCAGGGGCAGGCTGTGCAGGGCCTCTGGCCCCAGAGAGGACTTTAGTGTCTTCTCTGAGCAGGTGGGAGCCACAGCAGGACGCAGAACAGAGAAGGGACGAAGACCACGTGTGTGTTAACAGGACCCCTGGCTGGAAGGGGCAGCAGACCAGGTAGTGGGCTTTCACCAGGAGCCCCCACAAGAGGTTGCACCCCTTCGGCTGCCCCCTTGGGGACCAAGAGTGCAGCCATGCCCAGAGGCTACTGTCAGAGAGGGTGTGGGCAGGCAGCTCCATCGCATCTGTGAGCTCCCACTTCTGGGACCCACAGACTCTGCTGGGCCCAACCTGAGCCTGAGCTAGACCACTCCTCCAGGACCCCCACCCCGACAAGGTTCACCCGAGAGGCCCTCAGCCACAGCCCTACCAGGCAGCCCAACACCTCCCATGACAGGGACCCCACCCCACCCACCACGCCATCCCCAGGAGCTGAGCTTGGAGGAAGCCCTGTCTCAGAGCTTCCCGCCCCGAGCTCTGGGGGCTGTCCTGGGCCTGGCCCCGCAGACCCGGCTTCCCCTGCTCCAGACCCAGGGCATCCACCAGCTGAGTGCCCCTGGAGGAACCAGGAAAGAGTCTCACCTTCAGCATCACCTCTAGGGACAGAATGGACAGAGTTGGGGTCTGTGTCTTTTTCAGGCCGAGAACGGGGCAGAACCAGTGACTGCTTGAGCTCTTCCTGGGAGGATGGGACCCGGGCTGTCTCGTGGTGAGAGGTGGTCAGGGTGATGTGGGGGCTGGGCTCTGTCGGGACCGCAGGAGGAGAGCTCGGTGTGGCTTGTGACTGGGGGAGACTGGCTGTGCTTGATGCTGGAACGGGCCGGGCTCCCTCCTGCCCGGCGCTGCGGGGCGTGGCCTGGGCATCCGGGATGAGGTTCTCTTCGGGCCCCGCCCTGGCCTCCACCCGCTCTGCTTGGACAGGGAGACCAGGCCCGGCCGGACCTGCCGTGGGCAGCCCATCCAGGCCCCTGGGGCCACCTGCTGCTGGCCGCTCCCGGACAGTCAATTCCTCCCTCTCCTCCTGCCTGTCCTCTGTCACCCTCCTGGCCTTGGCCTGCACAGGGGCCGGGGGACCCAGGGCAGTGGCTGCCGTGGGCCTGGGGAGGGCGGCCGGCCAGCGGGTGGCCTGGATGGCTGAAGGTGGCTGGTTCCCGCCTCCCAGAGCGGCCGGGGCCCTGGCGCCTCCTTGGAGCTCGCCCGGCAGTGCTGCGGCAGCTTCTGCCTCCACCACCTCCTGGTCATAGCTGTAGGGGTCCTCGTAGTGACGCTCAGGGTCACTGTCCTCAGCATCCGAGAAGTTTCCGGCGGCAGCCGGCACAGCCTCGGAGTCTCCATCGCAACCGGGAAGCTGGTAGCAGATGAGCTCACCGCCGGCGTCGGGGCAGTGGCAGGCCTGGCAGGGCGACAGGTGGATGGTGTGGCCGGCGGCGTACTTGCGGCCGTTGTGGATGCAGCCCACCTGGCCACACTGCGGGCAGCTGTCAGCCACCACCACGGCCTCGATGCAGTTGGGCGGCAGCTCTGGGCACAGCATGAACTGGCAGCTGATCTTGCCGCCGCCGGGCGGGCAGGAGCACTCGGTGCTGCCGAAGTCCACGAAGTAGGACTGGCCGGCGGGCACGCGGCCGCGCACGAAGCCGCCCTGCAGGCAGTCGTAGTACTGGTAGCCCTCGCAGGCGCAGCCCCACTGCACGCACGTGGCGCAGCAGGCGCCCGGCTCCAGCGCCTCCTCGATGCAGTTCTCCAGCGGCGGGCACTCGACGCCCGTGCAGTCCTGCCCAGGGGCCGCTGCGCCCGGGCTCAGGGCCAGGGCCAGCGCCAGCACCAGGGCCAGCCAGGCTCCTGCAGGTCCCCTGAGCAGCACCATGCCCGCCAGATGAACAGTCCCTCTTGTGCAAGGCCCTGGGGGAATCAGAGAGGACAGCAGTCAGTGCCCCACGGGGGCTGCACGTGGCCACGTGTGCATGCCCAGCACACATGCCAGCACGTGCACACAGGGGCACAGCCTCAGCCACCGTCACCCATGCACGTGCACACGCGCCCACGTCTGCTGGGTGCACCAACAGCACCATCATCACCCTGCTGTGGACACGCCATCGCGAGCACGGCCCCACTAAGTCAGCTGACCCCCACCCTCACCCGCCTTCTGATATGTGCCCCTCAGGGGGACCCTCTGCCCAGTCTCTCACACCCACAGGCACTCACCCGACACATGTCCAGCACCTCTGGGGCACCTGGGATCTCTCACCTTCAACAACGGGCACCACAGTGGCCCGGCCACAGACCTCCACGCACACTGACCCGCACCGTCTCACCCACAGCCTCACCCACGTGCCAGGACACACACAGTCCGACATACACGCACACACCGACACCCAAACTATCTCCCCTGAAAACCCTGCCTGCTCCCTAGTCGTCCGCCCAGAGGCCCATGGCTGCCGGCCAAAGGACACGGTCAGGTGGACGCTGGGCAGGAGCGAGGCCCTGCCAGGCCTTGGCACACCAGCCAGGCCCCCCGCTGCAGCCCTCAGGCCCCAGGGCTCAGGAACACCCCGCAGCGGACCCCTTTGGGCTGCAAGTTTAGCCACAGAGGTGGCTGGTGCCAACCTTCTCAGCAAACCATTCCCAGAACCATCCTGGACGCTGAAGTCCCACGTGCACACACCCCCCAAGTCCTGTCTACTTTCCCCGCGAACAGCTCCCGGTACTCTGCCTGCTCCCCTCCCGGCGGCGGCCCTGCCCGGCTCGAGCCACACCTCCCACCCGCCAGGGAACAAGCCCGCCCCTCCCTCCCACCCCAATCCTCTCCAGGCTTTCCCTGCAAAGCCAGTGTAATCCGACAGCAGGCTTCCCAGCCTCTTGGCCAGCAAGGAACCTTCTAGACTCCCAGTGGGAGCCACCCTGAAAGGCCCTCCCTCCAGGGGCCCTCACGTGACACTCCTCGTCCTCTACAAGCCCTCAAATATCCCCTTCTGACTGCTCCTCTCTCCTCCCCACCCCGATCCTCACAGAAGTCACTGGTCCGCAGCCGGGACCCGGCCGGACTGGGGGCCGGGCGGCAGTCCCCGGTCACAGACAAGGGCTGCCTCTCCACCCACTCCGGCCCCGAAGCTGTGTGTCGTCTGCAGTCACTGCTAAAGTTGTGTGATTCAGAAAAAAAAAAAGACAAAGCCACACCCCTAGTATTTTAAACTTGTCATTTTCAAACCTGGAAAATACAGTGCAAACGTCTTAAATGTTTTTAACAAAGAGGAGGAAGGAAACAGCCCGCTGCCACCCACCTCCTGGCTGAGCCGGGGAGGGGGCATCCGCAGGGCAAGGGCCTGGTCCAGTGGAGCAGCGCAACTTAGCGCCCACACCGCCGGAAAGGAGGTCTGTCCCTACAGCCGGTCACCCGGGACCGACTGAACAGGCCCTCCTGCCAGCGCCTCCGGGACTGGGCTGGACAGCCAGCAAGGCCGCCCCATGGCCACCCCGCCAGCCTGGTGCTCTCGTGTGGGGATGCAGGTACGGGACCCACAGCCACTCAGCAGATCACTGAATGCCAGGCGGCCAAGAGCATAATGAGACCCCAATGAATGAAAGCAAGGAAGTGGAACAGGCAGTGGCCCGGGCTGTGGGAGAGCCTGCTTTATACAAGGTGCTTGAGCAAGGCTTCTCCAGGGAAGCAGCATTTGAGCTGAGACCTGAGCCAATCAACGGCCACACCATGTGAGTATCGGGGAGTGGAGCATGTCAGGGGGCAGGAACAGCCTGTGCAAAGGGCCTGTGGCAGGTGCAGCGGGAGGGAGGTGGGGCACAGCAGGGGCCACCACAGTGGAGCTGAAAGAGCAGCGATGAGGCTGTAACAGCCACGTGAGCTGGGCTTCCAGCTCTCCTGAGAGCCTGGAACAACCTGATGGAACGCTCTACGTAAAGCGGCTTGTCTGCTGCTGTGTTGAGAATGGGGAGCTGGATGCTGTGGGAGAGGATGGTGGGAGGGGAGTTGCTCTGAAGGTAGAAACAGCATGATTTGCTGATGGGCTGGATGGGGTCTGCGGAGAGGAGTCCAGGATGCGTGGAGGTTCTGGCCTGAGCACCTGGCAGGGTAGGGCTGGGCTTCCCGAGGCAGGGAAGCTGTGGGAGGGGCCACAGACCCGCAGGGGAAAGGCGCAGCCCAGTTCGGGCCATGCCGAATTTGAGATGCCCAGGGGCCACCCAAGTGAAGGTGGTACAGATGCCACTGGGGACAGCAGCCCAGAGGCCGGGGAGTCTCTGGACTCCGAGGGCCGGCGCGCATGTCCCCCCGGGCTGAGCGGCCATCTCAAGAGGATGGAGGGCTCTGTAGAACAGGGGACCCCTGATCCTCAGGACAAAACAGATGCCCCCTACACAGAGATGGGGGTCCCAGGGCCTCCCTCGAGTCCATTCTCCATGGTGTCATTTCAGGCAGAACTCTCCCCCCACCCCGCCCGCCTCCCCCATCACACCCTCACAGGGACCGGGCATCCCAGGGCAGCGCCCCCGCCCCAGGGGGCAGGCTTCTCCCACCGCAGCCCACTCCCGGCCCCCACTGCGGCCCAGTTCTGCCCACACCCGGGTGAACCCAGACCGTAGATCCACCCACTGCCCCCGCCCCAGGCCCAGAGGAAAGAGAAAGGATGTCAGGTCCCCGGCTTGGTGTTCTCATTTGCTGTGCAACCCTGAGCAAGGCCCTTGCCCTCTCTGAGCCTCGGCTCTGCATCTGTACCCAGTGGAGAGACTCCACCACACCTTCAGTCATAGCTGGGGGCCTGTGGGCACTACCTAGCCCACAGACATATTTTGTTTGTCACAGCGGGTTTTTAGATCTAAATTAGTTACCTGCGCTTACAAATTGTAAATGTTCACAGGAAAATTCAGGTTTCTGACTCCTCTTAGAAAACTCATGAGCCCCGGCCATCCTAAGATGTCACAAGGGTGTGGCCCCCGTTCCCCATGAGGCCTACACCGTGGCCTCTCTGCTCACTCACGTGGCTGGCAGTGCTTGAACTTGGGGTCCCCCAGGCCCCCCTCTGAACTGGGAACCCCATGCTCACTGTGGTCTCCAGCTGGGAGAAGGAAGTCTGAGGCCTCTGCGTGCGGCTCAGAGCCCAGTGCTGTCTGAAGATGGTGTGCCCACCTGGGAGGGGGCCGAGGCTGGCTGGGATGCGTCCAGTGGGGAGGGGGCCAGGCCCCCCAGGGGGGCCCCTCCTCCACAGCTGCTCTGGCTAGATGAAGGCCCTGCAGGTGTGTCTGCGGGGCGGGGCGACAGCTCTCAGCTCCACGTGGGAAAGCCGTCTCAGGTGAGAGACAGGCCCGGTAGCTGCAGGGACGAGGAGCTCCCCGTCCCCGGGGATAAGCAAGCCAGGGCTGGGAACCCTCATACGAGTGAGAGGCAGGACACGACAGCTACATCACTGCTTCTCGGGTCCGAACTGCTTCCCTCCCGGGGGCTCCTACTGCGTGTTCCTATGGACCCCGCAGGAAGTGGCCCCCTGCACGTCTGGCTTCTGCCCAGATGGGCCCCCCTCCTATCTGAAAAGAGGAATCACGAGGGGAGGGGCTGAGAAAGGGGGCCTGACCTCCCCGCAGGGGTGAGGCGGGGCAGCCAGACTGTGGTGACAAAGACCTGGCAGCCGGGCTGCCCAGCACCTGTGGCTGGGGCCAGGGCACACACTGGGAGGGAGGGGCGTCGGGGACCAGGGAGATTGCAGAGCAAGATCCCACAGGCCCACGTCAGTAACAACGAGACTCTGATGGTTACAACGCCAGCTGGACTGAGTGACCCGGGACGGACGCTCGGGAGAGCGGCACACACGTGACTGGGGCCACACATGCGAGAGTGGTGAGTGCCGAGCTCTGACGCCCAGGGCACCTCCCACAGAAATGTGCAACGCGTGGCCCCCGGGTGTTCTTCTGGAGGCGCAGGGGACACAGCAGGCGCAGTGACCGCGCTGGCTCCCGCCCGCCCCGCCCTCCTCCACCCAGCCCTGCACAGGCAGGTGGACCTCCGCCAGCCACAGCCCGGCTTCCACGTCCTCCAGTGGCAACCACCTACGACGGGAGATCAGAGGGTCCGGTGGGGCTGCCCCCCCAGGGCCACAGCTCCCACCGGGTGACCCTGCGGGACCCTGCGAGCTGCCCCACCCCACAGGTTCACTCCGCCCCACCTGCAGCTCTGCTCTAGGTCTTCCCACTAACCAGCCCCTCCTCCAGTAAACCCTGCGGGAGTCCTGCTGGGACCCTGACAGACACATCCCCTCAAGGACCCCACAGAACTCAAAGCCAATGACTCGGGGTGCAGAGAGCAGTGAGGATGGACACCACAAACACAGCACTGAGTGGACAAGAAACAGAACAAGTCCGCGCGCCCACCCCCGCTCCCCCAAGGTCAAATACTGTTTGCAAACAAACAGCTACCCCAGCACAGAACTGGGCAGCGCCCACAGCCAGGGAGCCAAGACAAGGGGAGGAAGACGACCAATAACATCAGAGCAGGCCCTTGCCGAGAACAAGACAGCAGCGTGTTACCAGCTGAGGAGGACAACTGACTCAACTCTCGGCTCCCGAGGTCTGGCTGAAAACAGAGCCCGCGTGCGGTCCGGGCCCTCTGCAAGCAGGAACCCGCCTCGGCCGCAGGCAGCGTTCAGGTGGGGGCACGCACACACCCGGCCAACCCACACGCTCACCCCCACTTTGCTGCGGCGGGTGGAGGGTGGGCCTGGGAGACTCAGAACTGTGACTGCTCTCACAGGGGGCCCAGAGGGACGCTGACCTCTGTAGGACACCTGGCAGCTTCCACCTTGGTCTCAGGGCACCAAGCCACCGGGGAGAGGTGGGACTACCCTGACGGGGGGGCCCCATAAGCCCAGCTGTCCACTCCTCCCGGTCACAGCGCTGGGCGTGCGGGTGAGGCCATCCCAGATGCCCGGAGGCCAGGAGAATACCCGACGTCCCCAGCCAATGCCTCTCGGAGCTGAGGAAAGGGCCGGCCACGCCCGTCTGAACTCCTGGGCAAACCCACCACTGCCCAGGTCACCCAGCGCCTCGGTCCAGAGCACTGGACCCAGCCAGCCCCCAGCAGACAGTCCAGAGGGGCAACCTCCCACAGGACAAAAGGCCCCACATGCTCAGCACACAGCAGATGCCACGCTGGGTTCACGCAGACCTGAGATGTGACAACCTCCGTGGGAGGGATCCCTCCAGGACCCGGCGCCAACAGACGGCGGAGGCCACGCCAGGCTCGGGGTGGGGCTGGGGGATGGACCAAGGGCCAGGCGACGTGAAGGAACGGCCGTCACCCTGTGGGCTGTGACGGCTGCAGACGCCGGCGTTTCTGCATGGCTGACCCTCTAAGTACCACCAAGCCTACGATGTGTGTAACACACTTCAGCTCAGTCAAAGGCCATGCGGCCAGCTGTTCCCAGAGGAGAACTCCGGCGATGGGTGTCTGAGCACCCCCTCTGGCTTCACTCTTCCCAACCTTCAGAAGGGAAGGAAGACGGAGCCACCAACACCAGTGCCTGGAAGCGCATCCAGCTCGGGGTGGGGGGGCCTCAGGCAGGAGGAGGTGGGGGAGCTTTGATGATCAGACTAATGCTGGGGATGGGGGCCGTTCTCACAACAGGAATGCGGGCAGGGCAGGACTAGACCGGGCAGGGGCACACTCAGGGAGGGTCTCTTCCCAGGCTGTCTGTGGAGGCACGTGGCTGAGGGCGCTGTGGGAGACACGACCATGGTCCTGCTGTCCCACGCTCCCCCACCACCACCACCACAGGACACCTGGGGGTGGGCAGGGGGTCGGGGGCCAGCGTATCAGAGTGACCATGCCTCAGCTGCCCGCACGCGCCCTGGCTGTGACCTCCTCTCTCTGCCCCTCTCACTGCCACTCACTCCCAAACACAGACCGCATCCCTAAGTAAGGTGACCCACCCCTGAAAAGTGAGCCACAGCATCCGTCCACAGACGGCCCCAGACGCAAACTCCCTGAGCTGGCAAGGCCACCCGGGGCCCCCCGCACGGCCCCAGGGCATTGCTTCATCACCAGCGCCACCGCCACCAAAAGTGAAGTCTGGCCTCACGTGACACTGAACCATGAGGTAAGGAAATTCCTCCTTTTTTTTTTTCCAGTTCTCTGAGCCTCCTGATTCTGACAAGAACAGGCTTGCCAGAGCGAGCAAATAAAGACACAAGGCAGCAGTTATAGAGGAATTTCACACAGCAGTGCATCACTGTTTAGTAGAAAGAATGTCCTGTGCAATATCGGGGCAACACTTCCCCACCGTTTATCTTAAGTCCCAAGTTAACTGGCATCCACATCTCCACCGGGCAGCCTCAGGTCAGAAGAACGTCTCAGGCTGCTGTGGTGTGGCTACGAAACTTTGGAAGTGTTTGCAGGGACCTCCCATCTAACCAAGAGGCAACCACAGCACAGCGCTGAGGGTCCACACAGCTGCAGACGGCAGAGGGGAAGTGAATACTCCAGACCCTTGCAGGCAGGCCAGCTACAAGCACACAAGTCATCAGGGCCACCTGGGCCGCTGGCCAGCACCTCCTGGGACAGCGCGGCCCCCAGCTTCTCCCAGAAGCCTGCCCAGATGGCTGCCCACTGTCCCCAAGTCCAGCCAGAGGGTGGTCACAAACCAGCCACCGAGCCATCTATCCATGGACCATGTCTGGGGACCCACATTCTATGGTGTTCTTGAAACTAGCTGCTGATATTATAACATGGCAATGTTATTAATTTATCACGAATTTAACATTAAAATCAGAACATTTTACACCAAAGCTCGATTCCCATCCCTTCTAGGAAAATCAGAAGGTGGGTCCACGGCGGGGCTGAACTCAGTAGTCCTCGGAGGGGCCAGGCACACTCTCCATCACCATCACTGGGCTCCCCCGCTCCTCTCTATCCTCCTGAGCCCTCTGGGGCCTCCCCAGTCCACACGCGAAGGGGAGAGGCCTGGGGGAGGCAGGAGTCCCTGCTCCCCTGACCGCGGGCCAGGGCCACCGCCTGAACAGCCCAGTGCTCTGAGTTAGGAGCTGTCTCTCCTCTAAGCGGCAGACACTGGGAATTTCGTCCCCTCCAAGGAGCCCGCTCCCACCCAGGTGGCCCGGCAGAACAATTGTATCAGAATCCATGCATCCCCACGGCCACACAAGACACACAACCACGGGAGGGAATGCAGAGTTGCACGCTGTCTTCAGCTGGGACCTCCGGGAAGCAGGCCCTGAGCTGGGGTGCTGTGCACGTGGTTTCCTGGGAGAACTCTTGAGAGAAGGGAGCAGGAAACGGGACGGCAAAGATGTGGTCTCAGCTGGCATCTGACAGCAGCCTGAACCCACCGGGAGCCCTGCAGCGAGACTGGCAGCCCAGGGCTCGTCCCAGTCAGGGACACCAGTGCGTCATGGGCCGAGGATGGCGCTGGGATAAAGCAGGGAGCTTCACCTCCTGGGCCGATGAGGGGAGGCAACAGCTGTTGGCCAAGGGCAAGCATCCGGGGAAGGGTGCGGGGAGAGCCAGCAGCAGCTGAGGGACAGGGCACCAGGGGAGGAAGCAGAGGGCACCAGCAGTGACCATGGGCTCTGGCACGCACTCACACACGGACACTCACACACAGACACACAGCCATGCAAGAGCAGGTCAGACAGTCTGGTCCGAGAAACTGCCCCCAAACCCACCGTTAACTTCCAATTCCAGCTGGGAGGACCCCAGGCCCAGCAAGGCAAGGAAGCAATGTACCAACTGTCGTGTTTGCACCCCTATGTTCACAGCGGCACGATTCGCAGCAGCCAAAAGGCAGGAGTAACCCAGGCGTCCATCAACAGGTGAGCGGGTAAGCAAAGCGTGGTCTACACACACGATGGAGCATCATTCAGCCTTAACAAGGAAGTTCTGGGGGGAGGGTCTGGCTTGGGGGTAGGCAGAGTGTGTGCTTAGCAGGCCCGAGGTCCTGGGTTCAATCCCCAGGACCTAATTACCTAATTACCTCAGGAAAAAAAAATTTTTAAAGGAAGTTCCGATACGTGTGACAACCCATGAATGAACCTTGAGGACACTGTGCCCAGTGAAATAAGCCAGACACAAAAGGACAAGTACTGTGCGATCCCACCTACCTGAGGTCCCTAGAGGAGTCAGATTCACAGAGACAGAAAGCAGGGTCGTGGGTGGGTACGAGGGGCTGGCGGAGAAAAGCAGGGTTAGTGGCTGATGAGGACAGGGTTTCAATTTGGGATGAAGAAAAGGTTCTGGAGATGGAGGGTGGTGGCGGCTGCACAATAATGTGAATGTACTTAATGCCACTGACCTACACACTCAAAAATGGCTAAGACGGTCAGTTTCATACATATTTTACTGCAGTGAAAAATACCAAAACATGTGCATTATGGAGCCAAAAGTGAATAATCAAAGAAGACCCACCAGGAAACAAGGGCTGCCCCCGAGACCTCCCCTTAGTAGTAAGCTTCCTGGCAGCCAAGGCCAAAAGGGAAATTAGAGGATGACCTGGTGCTCCTCCTGTGATAAGAGGAAGTCATCTAATTCACTGGGAAAAATAAACTTGTTCTTGGCACAAAAAGTCAGAGGGATTTTAGCTGTTGATCAGCTAAATGATATTCACTATCATTTCCTCAGAGCCGACACAACACCCATCACTGGGCTGGGGGCCGAGGGGATGTTTATTTTATTTAACGTTATTTATGCTCTACAGATAAGAACTCAGGCCCAGACAGGATAAAAGACCTGCCCATGGGCACAGCATCAGTAAAAGGCGGTGCAGGGCTCTGCAGCCGGGTCGGCCCGGCCAGGGGGGCCCAGCTGGAGCCCTTCAGTTTGCAGATTCTCACTGCATACCTGCGCCTGCCGGCCCCCACGTCAGGCACCAGGACGAGGCCGTGAGCAAGATGCAGAGGCCCTACCCTCATGTGGCAACACCCTAACAAAGGGAACAGACAAATAACAAACAAGTACGAAGGT